GCCCTCGAGCCTCATAACCAGGAAAGCGTTCTTCAACAACTCGATGTTTTCAGAGTGCCGAGGGCAGACAGACTTGATATGCCGCAAGACGCTGTTGCGAAGGCGCAGCGTCTCCTTGCCCCCCTCGGAGCAAACGCAGAAGCCGTGCTGGTAACACTGCCCATGCCCGCATTCGCGATCACGTTCTCGCCATGCAGGTTGGTCGTCGTGTTGGATAACCCTGTTCTTATGAGCCCAATCGCGCAGGAGAACGCCAGACATGTGGGAAGACCTGCTGTTCTCACAAGCAAACGCTGAAATGAACCTGGCTTTCTCCGACAAATCGAACAATACCTCGAATGCGTCCATGGCGCTCGAGGGGAGCGGCTGCAAAGCTGGCTTGCATGGGAGAAACGACGGACACCTGTCGATCAAGCCCTGGACCTTGGCCTCCGCATACTGAGAGTCCCACTCATCGAACTTGCCTGCTGCCTGCCCCTCCTTCTGCCGCCTGGCTAAGCGGAACGTGCTCGCCGCCATGCGGGCCGCTTGGCAGTGCTGCTGGAAGCCCTCGTCGGTCGTCAGCGGCGCTGAGACGTAGTCGCCAGGCAAGGCCAACACTATACTGGGCGCACCTTCATATGCTGCCTTGTCAATTGCAACCTGCAAGGAGCGCCGATGCTTGAATCGCTGAATGGCCCTGGTCGACACGCCGAAAGCCGAACCGCCTGCGCGGTGAGCGCGGCGTGCCCTCTGTCCCATATGCTGAAGCTCTCTCTCCTGAGGCCCGTGCAAGTCTCGATTGCGGTACTTGGCTGATATAGCATGTAGGTCTGGCCTCCCAACGGCACCAATGGTCTCTCTCCTCACGAAGCTTCTCCAACTACCTCCGCCTCCACGCCTCTTCTTTCGAATCGTTCGCCGTGGCGCGCTCGTCCCCGACAAACCAGGCCCTCGCAACTGCCGAGCCCTATGATCCTTCAAGAACCATGATGAGCTCGATGCCAATCGGGTTCGGAACCTCTGGCAGACAACCTGGGCGTTGACGTACTCAAAGCTAGCGCGGTGGGTGGAAACGCTCTGCGCGTCCACATGTCTCTTGAAACTGCCGTGGTCGTTCTCCCCCTTGACGTTCCCCACGTGGGTAATCTGCGCAACTGTCAAGAGCTTCGCCAAGCAGTCCTCGCCACCGAGCTCGCCATCAGGGTGCGACTCGAAGATATGATGGGAAAAGGCATCGCGAGTGCATCTCGGTCGGCGTTTGAGGTCGGGGCCTGCCGCGGCGTTCCTGACCATGGCGAAGAGCGCCACTGGGAACTGCTGAGCAGGCCGAACGAGGTAGGAGTTCACCAGGCACCCCGATCGAGACAACATCCTGAAGCACAGCGCGCGAAAGCGGAACGTCCTCTTGCCAGGGGCAATGAAGCGCCATATGTTGGAAAACCACGCCCTCTCCAAATCGTCAAAAAACTGACTCTCGTAGACCAGGTCCGCGTACTGCGATAGACGGTAGAGCCTCCCGCCATCTGGTTGCGGGTCCAGCTGGTCCGCAGCAGCCCTGCACCTCTGGTCATGCTCCCACTCGTCCCCAGAGCTGTGCAAGTACGCCGACATCAACTCACGCCAAGGCTCCATGGTACTCCGAATGGCTTGCAGCATGTGAATCGGCTCGGCCTGAAGCCACTCCATGGCAATGCGACGGTGCTTCTCATTCTCGACCTGCCATGCCCGAGCGTCTCCGCCAGCCGCAGCTTCATCGCGGGCGCCGCGCGCATCAGCGGGCGCGTTGGCATCCGCCGCCGAGGCCGCGGACTCGTCTGGCTGGAACTGCTGGCCATCGGCTCCGACACCGCCGAGAGGGGCGCCGTCGGTGCCGAAACTGCGCAGGAAGAGCTGGTACGCTGGAAACAGCAGGCCGTGGATGCAAGCGCACAAACCAATCTCGTCGATCGAAAGGTCCGCACCAGTCCACCGATGCCTTGGGTACGTCCTGAAAGACCTCCCCAATCAGACGAAGTTCAAGCACCGAATGACATTCTTTGTAACTGAACGGCGAAGCCCAACACCTATAGGGCCTTCCCCATCAACATACACAATCAACGACGAATGGTCGTGCCATGGCCCGTTCAAAACTGCCTGCGCCATCTGCATCCTCTCGTAAGATAAGCTACCCCTCCTGAGGAACAACTCGAGCATGAGCGACTGGTACTCTTCGTCCATGGCTGAGGGGCGCCCCCTCCTGATATCCAGTCGCGTGCGTGCCGCGGCGATGAACGCACGCCTGAACTTCGTCATCGCAGCAGCCGAAGAAACTGATAGTGATAAATGTATTGCCGCTGTTATATCGTAGTCGACGAGGTCGTAGGTCTTCGAGTGCCCAGTGGAAACTTTATGAACATTGCATGGCATGTGGAGGCTCATCCAGTCGGGCCCACGATCTGCTAGGATGCCCCGCTCCGTCTTGTAATTCGATGCTGCTGCGTCTGTCGTTGCAACTCTCAACTTGGCGGCGTAGTGGTCGGCATCTATGAACGTCGCAGCTGTCTCCGTCACGGCGCGCTTGCAACAGACCGCTGTTCCACGGTCAACAGCCTGAACCCATGTAAGCGCGGGGCCGAACAACTGAATGAGACGGGAGTTCACCCCTGCCCCAACTCGGAATAGACATGCCCAGCCATGCTCTGAACCAAATAGGTGGGTGCGATCAGTTGTCTTGCCAGCGGCGCGCTGCATGACAGGATCACAAGGTCTGGCGACCGCCCCGCCGTCGAAACCCACGACGTCGCCGAACAGCTGGTCGTCAACAAGCATGCCTCCAACGCTTCCCGTCGTGTCGTGGTGGCTCTGATCCACGCGGACCTTCATCTCAGTCGCGTCGTACCTCGAAAATTCAACGAACAACAACAGTTTCACGGCATCCCTCCGAACATTCTCGTGGAGCATCTGTATAGCACAACGGTCACAGTGCACGAGTGAACTGGCAAGAATGCTCAAGTTGCGCTGCATAGAATCTCGAGGTAAACCGAGCAATGACGACGCTGCTGTCTTGGAAGCAATGGTGGGGCGTTTGCTCGGGTCTAGGTACAGGCTGCCCAACTTGACCACGCCGCCGTCTAACGAAACCTGCCCCGACGCAACAGAACGAATCACAGCATCGAAAGGTCGTCGAAGCGGGGCTGCCGCGAAAGGTCCAGGACACGACTGTATCGCCGAGCTCTCGCCGACTGCGGGGTCCCACAGCCTGCGCTCATCTAGTGGTTCCCACGGCACGATCGGCCAGAAACCTGGGTCGACGTCCATGGCGTCATCATCAGCTGGATCAGCGGCAGCGTCTCCACTGTTGCCAGCGGCGCTGCCGTCATATGCGTCTGGGTCGACGTCGGCTGCGCAAGGCTCGCAGTCGTCGTCGGTTTCGCCGTCCAGTGCGACCGCCAGCCACGGGTCGAGCATGGGCGGAGTGGAAACACAAGGAAGCAACAAGGCCGCAAACATTAGAGCCCCAATGGTTGCGGAGGACGCTGTATGCGTTTGTCTGATGTTATGTCGTTGCGAAACTGCAAAATCTTCCTCGTCGCCTCCCCTCCCCTCCTCCTCACCCTGCCCCATCCACCACCACCCCGCCCTTACGTGGCTCTACTGCCCCAGTTGTGATTCAAAAAACCCGCGGGCGTGTCCGCCGACCCAACGGGGGGGCACAAGGCGCGTGAGATGCATAGCGCATTGGGCCGTAAGCCTCACAAGGGCCCGAGAGGGCCAATCATGTGAAAGCCTCGGGTGGGCCTGTATGCTCCCATTGCAAACAATGACAATCCCAACCTGGGCCTCGACGGGCCCCCAAGAGCAGCTTGCGTGCCCCGTCTCTGCTCCGTTAGGAAACGTTCACCTGTTTTGTTATGTCGCTGCCCTGTCTCTATTATGTTCGTCATGTACTGGTTTCTCAAGAGTCTGCCGCTCAACCTTTCTCAAATTTGAGCGCAATTGTTTGCGCAACTGTTTGGGGGTTTTGTGGGGAGGTCGGTTTCGACTACGTTTCGAACTCCAAACGGCACTTTTCAGGTTTTGGCTCCTGGAGGGCCTCTAGCAGGCGGGCCCGTCTCAAGGCTAGCAGCTCGCTCGGTCGCAGGTAGCAGTGGAACGTGCGGCTGAGGGCGCACGCCATCGCCACCTGGCCCTTCAGCAACAGGATCTCCAGGACCCCGCGCAGGATGAGCCAGGGAAGTGGCGGGCGCTAGTGGCCTGGTCGCCTGCGCTTCCAGCCCGGCAGCGCCCGGCTGCTCCGCGGCACCACCGCCCGCAAGGGTCGCCCCAGCGCTGGCCTCGCCCACAGCACCGCCGACAGCAGCTTCGTCGCCCTGTCGGGACGCGCGCCTTCCGAGAACTCGTCGCTCAGGCACTGCAGCAGCGCGTCGCCCCACTCCAGCGCGCTCCAGGTGGGCAGGGTCTTCGGGCCCAGCCAGCGGCAAAGGCCACTGAGGCAGCGCAGGTAGGTCTGCTGCGTCGAAGGCCTCACCGCTTCCAGCTCCAGGCCCGGGACGCTCGAGCCCAGGAGGCGGTGCCACGGCAGGGCCGTCGCGGCCGACGACTCGGCCGCGGGGCCTCGGCGTCTGGCGCGAGTCCTCGCCGTCGGGGCACCCCGAGGCGCGGCCGCAGCTCGGCGGCTGCACGCAGGCGCGCTCGAGGCCGGCGGCGGCGGCTCCCTCGGCGCGGCCGCCAGGGGCGTTCAGTGTTCCATCGCCCCGCAAACGGCGAGGCTCGAACCGCCTGGAAGGGCCGTCGGCGGGGTTCCACTCGGAGGGAATCCAACGAACTGAGACTCGACACGAAGAGGCGAGCTGAAGTGCGGTAAGGTGCCGCAACTGTGCAAGGATGGGAAAATCCGAGGCTCGTCCATTTGCAACTGCACAACAGATGCACATGCTATCAAAGAAAAAGAGAAGCCGGCAGCCGCGATGCGCCACGCGGCGCACCTGCCTCCGCATCGCCCAAAGAAGCGCCTCGCCCTCCAGGAGATGGATAGGAGCCTTGCGCCGCCAACGTCTCGAAGCCGCGGTCTTCCACCGAGGTGACTTGCAGAACTCGGCGGGCACGTCGGGAAAGGCAGAGTCGCTCACGGCGCCCTCTGGCAGAGTCGCTCACGGCGCCCTCTCGCAGGGCGCGCGCCCTCGAGCCCTCGGCCACCAGCTCGCTCTCCTTGAACCGCCAGCTCTCTCTCGCGCGCCCGGCGCGGTCCACCTCGGCCGGGGCGGCTGCGCACTCCACGGCGCCCAGGCCCGTCAGGGACGCGTCCACGGCCATGACGCTAGGCGCCCAGGTGCCGCGCAGGTCGGCCCGCACCAGCGGCAGCAGCGCCCGCGCCCAGGACAGCTCCCGACGCACCGAAGGCCAGGGCCGCGCACGGCGGGCGCAGCACTTGCTGATGAAAACGTAAGAGGCGCTGAGTAATCTGAGCATCTCGCGCCGCAGCAAGAGGACGCACGCCAGGTGTCCGATCAGCCTCTCCAGCTCGGCTCCCGCCAGGAGTGGGCGCGTCAAGATGCGGTCCAGACTAAGGACCAGCCGCCAGAACCGCTTGGGCGCGATGTGGATCGCGCCCTTCACACCGTCGACGTGGAAGCCCAAGAGGTCCACGTCGACCTGCGGCCCGGAGACGTCATGAGTAGCCAGACCACGACCCCTCAGCTGCCTCTCCATCGAGTCGCCATCCACCTGGACTGCCTCCTTCTCGGCCCACAACGAGGCGAAGTTGTCGATGTGCAGGAGAGCAGCGGGCTCACGCCCAGCGACGGCGGGCGCGCAGCGGCGATTGCAGATCCAGCGCCGAGCGCCCATCGGCCCCGACGGCAGCAGCTCCGCGTTCGCCGCCTGCACGAGCGCCACGGCCCAGCCCCAGCCCATCGGCACCACGCGAACCTGGAAGTGCACCAGCTCGGCGCTTCCAGGAAACAGGTCGAGCAGGCGGCGCGGCAGCGCCTGCCGCGGCGCCGCCAGCGGCGCGAAGTCGGTGCGCAGGTCGACGGGCAGGAGGAACTGGTAGTAGCAGTTCTCGACGCCCCCTCGTTGACCCACAACCTTTGACCAGCGGGCAGCTCCAGATCGCCGAGGGCCTCGGGCGAGGCCAGGGCGACACTGTCGGGCGGCACGAACTGCGCGTTGGTCTTCCGAGGATCGAAAATGATCCGCAGCGAACCGTCCTTCTTACGAACAAAGAAAACCCCCACAAAATTGCAAGCCCCGGTCGCCGGCTCGACGACCCCAGAGTCATAAGCACTGTTCAAAAACTCGGCGAACTTGCTCGGGGACCTCGACAGGACGGGATCCATCGCATTGCCCAGCTCGTCCGCCATCGCCGCGCCGTCCTGTGCACGCGCCGCTGGTAGCCGAATAGCGCGGCCACTATCCTCCAGAAGCTTCTGGTAGTGGTCGGGCAGGCAGCCGACGAGGTCGATCGCCTGGTTGCCGACCGCCGGCAGGGCCAGCCTGACACGCTGGTAGGTGGCGAACTCTCCGGCGACGACGCCTCCACAGGCGCAGCTGGACCCGCAGCCCCGAAGCGCAGACCACGCTCCCGAGGTGGTGAGGTCGTCGGGCGGAGGCGGCACGGAGTAGTAGGCCCTGGCCAAGCTGGCCACCGCCTGGCGCTGGATGGCACCTGGCAGCACTATGGGGCCCCGCACCTCACCGCGCCCGCCCAGAGCGTTGAGCGTCGCGACGTCGTCCTGCAGCCGCGCCTCCGCAGCCCGACGGCGTGATCGCCGCCAACGCGCGCAGCGCGAAACACCCGGCCCCGCTGGCGACAACCCCTCCAAGAGGTCCGCCAGGCAGCGGCCCGTTGGCAGTGACAGCAGATCGCGAGCCCAGCAAAGGCCCTCACCTGCAACAGCAAGGCGGCTCGCCATCCTCCTCAAGCGAGCAGCCCTCCCCTGTGCAGCTGGGGCGACGGCCGGGGGCCTCCGTCGTCCGAGGTAGCTCGAGCAGCTCCACCCCCCTGCCCGACGCGATTCTTGCGCGGGTTCTTGGGAGGCTTGTCGTCGTTCGTCCTGCTTGATGCACTGGGGGTCGCGTCCGTCGAGCGAGCCAGCTGCCGCTCCTCCATCGCCTTGCGCTGCTCCTTGAGCACGGCGCTCTCCTCTGACAGCTTCTGCGAGATCCAGGTCTCCGGCGCAGGCGCCACCAAGGCGCGCCCGTGTCGGCCCTCCTCGCCCATGAAGAGCCTGTCGTTGTCGAGGTGGCCGCTGCCCCCGCTTGCCGTCGCCGAGACCAGCATCCTGGCGCGCCTCTCCTCCAGCAGCTGGTAGCGTCGCCCTGCGAGCTCCAGCGAGGCCAGTTCGCCGAAGTTGAGCTGGTCGTACGTCAGGGCGTACTCGAAGAGCCGACTGAGGGACTCGTGCTCACCCACACCCCAGTCGCTGGGGCCCAAGCCCAAGAGCTGCCGCCATCAGAAGTGCCTCCGCACTGGCGTCAGCTCCTGGCGGGCGATCTCGCGAGCGAGCCACTCTGCCGTCCGAGGTCCGCTGATGGGCCAGTCGTCGAAAGCCGCGGCGGTGGTCAGCGACGCGGCCTCCTTGCACGAGCGGCGCCGCTGGCTCGACTTCTCGTGCTTCACAGGCAGCGCCCTCAGCTCCCTGGGCGGCCCCCCAAGCGCGGCTCCTCCTCTGGGCGTCGGCGCCTGTTCGCCAGGCCTGAAGAAGGGGCATGCGACGAAGAGTCCACCGACCTGGGCCACCCCGCGATCGCCACGACGACACCCAGCCTCCAGCTCTGACGCGCGCCTCGCCCCGACTCTCGGAGAAGCGCCACTCGCCCTCCTCCGCCGGCAGGTCGCCTTCCAGCGCCAGCGGCGGCGGGGCGGCGGCGGCCGGGCGGCGCCCAAGCCCAGGTCCAGCTTCTCCTTTTCGGCCAGCCCCGCCCCCTCGGCCTGCAGGCGCAAGCTCTCAGCACGACGCAGCGGTCCCTGAGAGGAGCCACGGAACATGTGCGTCGGCCCGCGGCTCCAGCCCAGCGGCAGACCGCCCATCGGACCGAGCGGCGCCAGACTCTCGATCCCATCCTCGAGATCCCCCAAGTAGATGTCACGCTCTGGGGCGGCCACTACCCACGAGCCCTCATGCACGCGAGCGCACAGGAACCGCTCATGCCAGAGCAGCTCGCGAGGGCCCACGTCGTAGGAGACGAGTACCCGCTGGCCCTGGTGAAAGTGCGCGGCCATCTTGGCCATCAGACAGGCAGAGGCTGTCCAGGGCGCCTGCCTCGCCGCGGTGGAGCCACCGCCAGCCGCAGGCCGCCGTAGTGCAGACCCCCGCGAGGAACGCCAGCACAGCGACCAGCAGCACGACTAAGCCCTGGTAGCCCGAGCACTCAGGCGGCGCACAAGGCGCTAGGACCGTGAGGTTGGCGGGCACGCAGCGCTGCAGCTGCCCTTCCAGCAGGCGCAGCAGCTCGCGGTCCGCCGAGAAGCCCTCACCGAAGTCCACCTGGCGCGTGCACCTACTCTGTGCGTGCCAGAGACTGCCGAGGTGCGCCAGGCCGCCCGCGCCCGCCGCGGCGGCCCTCGCCGACTCCACGGGCGAACCCCCGGCTCGCGCGGCTGGATTGAACCAACGGTTGCGGATCCACAAATTGCCAGGCCAACGCGATTAACTATCCCCAAGGGCGTGTCCTCAGGTCCTCTGCCCACTCCTCGGAGCCTCAATCAGTCGAAAACGCACTGGTAAGCTTAGGTATGTGTTACGCTTTAAGCGTTGCCATATCCCAGGCTTTGGCTCATATCGCATGAGCAAGAGAGCAAGACGAAGCATGGGATCTGGAGTAAAGGATAGGATGGGCATCGTCAATGGAAAAGGTATTTTCCGATCTCAGATACAAGTCGCGCGCCTCGGTGAGGCACAATCATATATTTGGCCGGGCCCGGCTTGAGCCAGGCACGGCAGCGGTACATGCTCGATTTATACCTCGCCTTGAACCTTCTCCGTTTAAAGTCGGAGGGGGAGGAGACGAGCAGGCACCGCACTTCTACATTACGCGGAAAAACAGTGCTAAGCAGCAGCGGCTGCCTACAAGGCAAGGGCGCGCGAGTAGCCTCGCTACCGGCGAGTTTCCTCGCTACTAGAGCGCACCTGCACGCGGGTTTCCCCGCTAGCTCGGGAGGCAGGGCCGTCCTGAGACGACCTGCCCGCCCTATACGATGCATGTTTCTTCAGCTCGTGCTTGAAGGATTGCTGGCCGGCCATTACTTGTAGGAGCAACGCGCGGTCAATGCTACCTTTGTATGACCATCGGCAGTCATATCCCGCGTGTCACACCATTGGACGCTTTCCACGATTCCACGTTCCATCATCTGGCGAATCCAGCTGATGTGCCCAAGCAGAGTACACTCTGTGGGCTTCTTCAGATCCTTGCTAGACAAAGATTTGAAGACAGACTCGGCATCAATAGTCAGAGTGACTTTGATACATATACCACCCATTTCCAATATGTTCTTCAACTGTGTGGGGGTCAATGGTCCCGAGTGTAGCTCGTGGAGCGTTACAATGGTCGGGTAGCAGTCTTCCAAGTTGTGGGCTGCTGCCAGTGTTTCCGCAGAGTAGCTCGAACGCACCTGCAGTCGATGAGACTTGCAGTATGCGCCCACCAGGTGCACGACGGGTTTCCCCGCTTGCGTGTGGCCACGCCTCAGCAGGTTAGCCCCACGGATACCATAGCCTTTGACTTCGTCGTCTTCATCTCCATTGAGACGGCGATAGCCAGAATCGCTATGCAGGTCAACTTCTCCTGTTGGAGTCATAGCTTGATACACGATCTTCTTCGGACCTGCCTGTAGTTTCCTGGTAACCGCGTTTAGTCGTCGTACCTGGATGTTCGTCGGTTCCTGGATACGTTGTAGTGAGACAACATAGACAATCAGCCATACCTGCGTGATCAACGCATAGGCTAGAGCGCCACGAAGACTGACGAACATATCAGAAACCGTCTTTGTCGCTTTGCTCTCAGGATCAGCTCCTGTGAGTTCTGGATGTGTGATAGGACGAAGCTGTTTGATGTATTCGTCCTGATCAAGAGTGACGCTCCCATCATCGGTCTTGTTATACCGAACGGCACAGTTTGTGTATGTGTGCTTGTTCAGTTTACACTTCCCAAACGTATCTTCAACACACTTGACATACTTGTCAATAGCCTCTTCCTTCCCAGTCATATTGATGTCATCAACGTGCTTGGCTGTCAAGAGGTTTGAGCTCATCTCGAACTCTTCGTCGTATGAAGTAGGCTGTAGCCCCAAGCTCCTAGTGATGGACCTGAGCTTCAGCGAGAATGCCCTGGGAGCATCCTTCGTGCCCGTCCCCGGCTTCAGACACCGAAGACAATGCTTTGATTCATCATATGACTCAAAGCCTGGCAGTGTGCGAAGGACAGCTGCTGACCCAGGAGGTAGTGTGAAGCACACCACACGCTCTTTCTCGCCCGTTGCCGCGGCGAGCTCGCTATAGGTCAGTCCCTTCAAGGAAGCCATGTTGATGTCCAGGGAAGCGATGATCCAAGCTTTGTTGCATGCAGCAGAACTTGCGAGCAGTCTCTGGCTTGACCTCCTTGCCGTGCCAGAGAAGGTTTCGACATCAAAGGCTTCAAGGTCCATGAAGCCACGGAGTACCAAGCGTAACCTGATCGTCCTTTCCATTTCTCCCTTTTCGTTCTTGACAAACTTCCATTTGTATACGTAGCGTGAAGTCATGATGTTAGACGCTTTGCTCAAGTCAGTCATCTGAAAGCATTTATTGTCAAGCCAAGTCTTCAATTCTGTGTAAAAAAAAAAAAAAAAAAAAAAAAAGAAAAAAAAAAAGGAAAAAAAAAAAAAAGAAAAAAACAAAAAAAAAGAAAAAAAAAAAAAAAAAAAAAAAAAGAAAAAAAAAAATAAAGAAAACAAAGAAAAAAAAAAGAAAAAAAAAAACAAAAAAAAAAAAAAAAAAGAAAACAAACAAAAAAAAAAGAAAAAAAAAAAAAAAAAAAAAAAAAAAAAAGAAAAAAAAAAAAAAAAAAAAAAAAAAGAAAAAAAAGAAAAAAAAAAAAGAAAAAAAAATAAAAAAAAAAAAAAAAATAAAAAAAAGAAAAAAAAAGAAAAAAACAAAAAAAAAAAAAAAAAAAAAAAAAAAAACAAAAAAAAAAAAAAAAAAAAAAAAAAAAAAAAAAAAAAAAAAGAAAAGGGGCTTCGGAAACTTTGACCGGATTCGCTTGAATGTCGGCCTTCGTGAGTAGATCGTCTTCCTTGACGACCGCGGCACGTTTGGAGGCAGCACTAACGTATACTCGCATAGTTGTGACGCTGCTGTCATCCAACAATCGGTGTTGCTGCTCGGACAGGACGACTTTGGACATGTCTGCAGTGAAGCAGAGCTCGATGTACTTCCCGTGCTCATCGGAGTCCAGATCATATTTGCTATCCGGATCCGTGGAGCATAAAGGAACGTAGTAAGAAGTGTCCATGTCGTATCCTGGCGGGTGACCCCGCTCCGGCAAGTGGCCTTGCACATCTTCACAGGTCGTAGAGACTAACGCACACTGTGTGTCTGTCATGTATGTGGGAACTGCATGCATGACTTCTTCTGTGTCAGCTTCAAAGAGTGTTCTGTCATCCATCAGTTCAGCATGCCACGACTTCAAGACAAAGGCATCCAGATCTTCTTCTGTTTCCTCTATGATGGTCGGGGGCCGACCATCGTTCTCCGTGGGAGGCTCCTCAGGAGCAGCTGCTGGAGGTGACTCGCTTGGTGGTGGACCATCAGCGAGTTCCTCAAACTTAGTGAGGTCTCGGTCAAATCCAGCAGACGGCTTCCTGGATTTAAGACACTGGATGATGCGTGAGTGTGTAGATCCTGTGATGTCATAGATGTTCAAGGCAGTGCCATCAGCTTCATAGTAATGAAAACCAGGGGTCACATCATTATCATAGTGCACTAGTGTACAGCTGTCTGCATAGGGTGCAGCAGTCAACTTCGTCAGGCTCTTGGCAAGTCGTACAGCAACAACGTTTTCAATACGAAAGTAGTTGCGTATGAGGTACTGAAGAGCCAAGTGCACCTTAGGCGAAAGTCGGCTCGCAGCAGTCATCTGCAGCCGACCCTGTTTCGCTGGTAGATATCCGAAAGTCATGGCGGGTTTCCCCGCTGGCAGACCTGCAATAAAGGCCAATACTGTCCGAAGGGCCGTATTGTCCGATCCTATCTCGCGGACCATAAGTGCTTCGATGTACAGCGTGTGTCTTGTGTCAGGATACTGTACTCGCACTTCGCGACTACCGACCTTCACGATGACCTGGCCTCGGTCAGGTTCGTTGCGGATGACCGGGTATGGACCACTCCATTCACCCCAGTCGTCTTTCGTGGTGGTCGGGCGATGATAGTCCACGAGATCTCCCTCTTTGTAGTGAAATTCACCCGTAGCAGTAGTCTTCGTACGGAGAGCCCTGTTCGCCTTGGCAACCGCAGTGGCCTGCGTGATTGCCTCCAGACTGACCCTCCTGATTGTTTCCTCCCTTGAGTGATCTGATGATTCAGCGGACTGATCATGATCCAAGACAGGGAAATCGGGAAGCATAGCTGGTTGTCTGCCATACAGCGCATTGTACTGAGACACTTCATTGTAGAAGGTAAATGCGTTGCTGGCAAACAAGGCTTCATGTAAGAGACGAGTGAAATTGAGAGGGATATTTAATCTATTCAATTCTTCTCCCATCACGTGTAGGAGGTGTCGCAGGATGCCGTTCCGAGCTTCGATAGTTGTAGCGTGTTGGCCACGCGCTCGAATACGAAGCTCTGTTCCCTTAGCCTTAAGGATGGCCTTTGCTGTATCATTGTTCAGTGCTCCTTCCCCATCGGAGTATAAGATTTTAGCAGGGCCATGTTGCATCCAAGTTGTATGATAGGCATCGAGAACAGTATGCATGGTTTTATCAGGAATCTCTGTGCCAGCTGCCCAGCGAATACAACGGTCGATGATGTGAAAAACAATATGTTCCTGTTTGTAAAAGAAAAGATCACATTCGACTTCCTCGTTGAAACGTCCTGGCAGTGACACAGAAGGCATCACCGTGTTGCCTGGTTTGTCCCAGGCTCGACATTCTCTACACGAGTCGCAAATGCCTTTGATCAGACTCAAACGGGTTTCACCCAGACCAACCTGGGTTAGAATCATCCGCATTTTTGGCTCCTTGGCATGAAACCATCTCAAGTGGAGTTTGCGGAGTTCTCGCTGCACTACAGCTGGGTCGAAGCTGCGCAGGTTTTGGAGGCTGAGCTGAACGTCGAAGCGAGTCCAATCTGGGAGCCTTGGCCTTGGCCTCGGCTCTGCTTGAGGCTGCGGCGGTGGTGGAGGATCTCCTCCCTCCATGCGTCCGCGCCTTGCTGCAACTTGTGGCAGTCTACGGTGATCGTCAGAGCTGCCAGCGCAACTGTTGCCACCATTAGCCCCGTCGGCTCTGGTGATGTCATGGCTGCTGGCGCCTGCGGTTGGATCGCCCTCACCAGGCCGTGGCGGCCTAGGCGCGCGTATGCGCGCTCTCG